TGCTGGGTGAAAGGGACCATCTGCCTGCCAGACAGCCCTGAAAGGCTTTTATGTATGGAATACCAGTGATGCAAAGAGTTACAGCGATTGCCACTGTGCAGGTAAAGCACTGAAACACCAAGACACCAGCTGACTTCTCCTCGATCACGTATGGTTTATGCACTAAGCTGAGAACCGAAGGCGTGCCTGCAGTTCCCCAGCAGGAACTGCTTTGAAATCGCTTCTCTTTGAGGTTAAGATCATAATGATGAAATACTTATCTAATTGGAGCCACACACTGCTCCTAGAGCAGCTAAAGAGCCTGGCTCAACTCATCACACACTGCAGATGAGGAGCTGTTATCCTCTGGCAGATGGTTCAAACACTGGTCCCTCAAATACCCATCTGGGAAACCCAGGCTTTTGTGCCCAGCTTCCTGAGAAGGACCTCTAGATGTCTGTTGAGCTGTATCTTGTCCCAGGTTTGACCCAATTCCTTAATTCCTCTTCCCTTTCTACGTTTCAGCTTTTGAAGTTGCCTGGAGTGCTGTGGCCCGGAGGAGCGCAGGATGGACCCTGTTGTTCTCAGTTACATGGACAGTTTGCTGAGGCAGTCGGACGTGGCCTTGCTGGATCCCCCAAACTGGCTCAATGATCACATCATTGGGTTTGCCTTTGAGTACTTCGCCAACCACCAGTTCCAAGAGTTTAGTGATCAGGTTTGTTTTATCAGCCCCGAAGTGGCTCAGTTCATTAAATGTGCCCTTAGTCAGGAAGAAATAGCCATATTCCTTCAACCGCTGGACCTTCTCCACAAGAAGCTGGTGTTCTTGCCTATCAATGACAACTCCAACCAGGTCGCTGGGGGCACCCACTGGAGCTTACTGGTTTATTTCAGGGACAAAAAGTGCTTTGCCCATTACGATTCCCACAGTAAATGCAACTCTGTCCATGCCAAGCAAGTGGCAGGGAAGCTGGAGGCGTTCTTGGGCAAAAAAGGGGGCAAAGCAACCTTTGTGGAGGAGAAGGCGCCTGCCCAGCAGAACAGCTATGACTGTGGGATGTACGTGATCTGCAACACAGAGGCTCTGTGTCAGGGATACTTCAGAGGTTGGCCAGAGCCTTTGCTGCAGCTCCTCACCCCCTCCTACATCACGCAGAAGAGATCGGAGTGGAAAGCTCTCATCACGAAACTGGCACAGAAGTGATGGAAATGCAGCTCCAACCCTCCAAAAACTGCCTTCCCCATCCACAAGGCAGCACCCCCAGTGCCTGAGGGAGATGCCCATGCACAGGATTGTCCCAAAGAAGAAGAATGTAACCCCTCCAGCATGGCTAGACCCCCAAACACCCCTTTCCTCATGGAAAAGCCTTAGCCCCCTCTGGAAATCACTGGCCTTCGAACTTGTAACATGAAAAGTCACTTTGCTCTCAAAGAAAACCCTCCTCTCGTGGTGAAGTTTTACACTAATTGCTGTGGCAAAATAGGTTATTGTTAAAGAGACTTCTCCACCTTTTGCCCAGCAGACACCATGCCCTCATTAGGTGGCTTTAACTGGCCACAGGCATTGCTGCTCCAAGCCAGGTTTAGCAAATGCCCCTTAAAACCAAGCCCCCAACTGCTTTCTCACAGCTACTTCTAATCTGTGCCTCCCGCTTGCGGCATTCCAGCAGTCTGGGGTTTAGCACCAAGGATTTGGTTTACCCCCAAAAACCTGATACTGTTACCTGTCAAAAGATGAGACTCCAAAGGAAATGCTACGATGAATTAAGGAACCAGGCAAAAAGAGAATCACTTTCTTCAGACAGGTGCTCCTAAGCTGTAGCTTTTTTCTGTTCCCCACCTTGCTCTTACTACAAATTAAAACCTGACTCTTAAGCCGCTGGAAGATTAATAGGAAGCTGAGAAACCCAGTCCTAGGAAAGGGAACTTGACTGAGATGAAAAGGAACACTCACTCTTTGAAGTTCGTGTTTTTCATTAGGACTTCAGGTCCTCTCCACTTGGGGAGGTTCCTCCTTGCTCCCCAGCCCTTGCTGGCGCTCACAGCACTCAGGTGCTGCTTCCTCCAGCACAAAACCAGTTCTGTTACTTGAGATAAAGGAAAAAACCACACCAGGGAGAACAAAAGGACAGAGTTTGAGTTATAAAAGCCAAAGATAACTGTGGTCTGCTTGAAGCCCAAGAAGTCCTTAATACCCTTCAAACCAAAACGCTTTCCCTCCTGCGCTGGCTGGTGGCTGGGATCTCCCAGCAGATCCTCTTGGGAAAAGATGGGCTTAGGAGTAAGGAAAATAAAGATTAATCTGGGATGTTGTTGCAGGATAAGGGGTAAGCTCTGCCCCCACGAGGAGCCAGGAGCAGGTTGCTCAGGTAGTGTCTAGCAGAGCAACCCCACCCCAGCAGGGAAATGAGGTTAACCAGAGCCCTCGGAATAGGAAAGGGGGAAGGATTGTTTTTACCTTGGAGTTCTTCACCCATCACACTGCCAGCCCAGGCCCACCAGTGCATGTGTACCAGCACCACGGCAAGGAACTTTAGGAAGGGCTTAAACTTCCCTTGTTGCTAAGAGGAAGGTAAGTAGCCACAGCCAGGCTCTTCCAAAACACCGGAGGAAACACACAGTGCCAGCAGTGGAGCGAAACGAGGGTCAGGGTCATTCCCCTCCTTCCTGCAGTGCCACCAGTGGGTCAGGGCATCCCATCCATCCTTTCCAGACTCCCTGGAAAACCCTTCTGTGCTCTGGTGGAGCTGAAAACCCTGAAACGGGATTGAGCTGCTCGACGAAGGGGATTCACTTCGGACTCTGTGGCTTTGCCGGAGCAATGTGACTGCTGCTCCAGGTCCAGAATAAAACTCAAACCAACCGGAGCACTTGTATCACCCTGTCTTTGTGCTGATTCCTTCTTGCGCAATGGTATCAAGGCCATGATGATTGTTGGGTCTTGCAGCAGCCTCTCAGCCACTCTGTGCCCTGCAGTGGGTGAAACTGAGCAGAAATCAGCCTGAGAGAGCCAGCGAGCCCAGGGACAGCTCCACCAGCACCTCCTGTGACAGTGAGGCAGCTACACAGGCACAGCTGATCACCTAATCCTGTCTTTAGGGCTTGATCTGAGTTCAGGAGGAGCATGGGAAGAGGGGAGGGAGGAAGGCAGGACAGTGGGCGCGATGGGGAGCATCAGGGGGCACTTGAGGGCAGGGGCACCCCATGTTCCTTGTCCCCAGGGGACGGGGCAGGAGCCAGCATGGGGAGCACCCAAGGACGTTTCCTGCACCCGAGGCTTTTACGTGGCATTTCTTCACACAAAGAAAAGCAAATAAGCTCCAGCAGGGCGTCACCAGGAGCACCAACGCACAGCAGCGAGCAGGCAGGCAAACACCGGCTGGAGAACACCCCCCCCCCCCCAAACCATGCCAGGGGCTCTTCCAAACCTCCTCCACATCAGCCAACTGCACCCAGGGGTTGTCCCACTGAGGGGTCTGTCACCACCATCACGCAGCGGGCCTGGGCTCAGCACAGGGACAAGGGACCCCCATGCACCTGGTTTGTACTGGGTGCTGCAGAGCATCCTAAACCACACTGGGCACACAAGCCCCAGAAAACCTCAATCCTAAACCTCATTTCTGGGGGCATAAACCCCACTTTAAGGTTGAACCCATAGAGCACCAGCTTGGGTTTAGAAAAAAGCTCCAAACCCCTTTGAACGGGGTGAGAATGGAGCAGCAGTGGGATGGCACCTTGCATCCACTGGTCACCCACAAACTCAAAGGCTTCAACAGTCCTCTAACGCCAGGGCTTTGGAGCACCAGCTTTGGCCAGAAACATGGCCAAGCCCCAGCACCCCAGGGTACTAAACCCCCCGAAAAACTGGGGTGACACCACCCCAACCCCCACTTGGCCACCACCACCTCCGCTGGGGCTTTCCACCTTGTGTTGTTCCCTTGCATCTCACCCACTTCCATGCATTCTGCTACAGGCCGGGCTTGGTGGGAGGGGAATTCGGGTTGCGGATGCTCAAGGAGGAGGAGAAAGGCGCTGCCAGAGCCCAAGGGCCACATCCCGCGGTCTCTGCTGCCACCTAGTGAAGAAACCGCACCCGGGTGTCCCGCAAGAGCCACCCCCATTCTCCTGCCCCAGCCGGGCCCCCCTCCTCAGCACGGCCAAGGTGACACCCAGGCTGACACAGAGCGTGCAAACACGCTGCTGAGCACCCACCAGCATCCATCCAGCCCCAGGTACAACCAGCGCCGGCCCAAAGGGAGAACAAGGCGATGGCACCCATTCCCAAACCCACCCGAGGACAGGGCTGTCCCTGAGGCTGCAGCCAGTGAAGGAGCACCAGGCCAGCACTGATGCTGGGGTGCCCGGCTCCGCAGCAGACAGCAACGTGCTAGAAAATCCTGGGTTTATTTCATTTAAAAGCCGTCCCGGCCGGGGAGCGCCGCGAGCGCTGCCCCAGGGGCAGGGATTTGGCCCCGTCAGCACTTGTAGTTCCCAAAAAACAGGAAAGAACCGAAAGGAATCCCACGGGAATGACCCCAGCGCGCTCCGGGGGGACAAACCCTGCACAGCCACGCTGTGATCCAAGACCTGCCCCAGTGCCAGGCGCAGGCTCCGACTGGGGTGTCTGACCGAGGGGAACGGGCTGCTGCAGCCTTGGTCCGGCACCAAGCGCCCGCTCTGGGGGACCCTAAAGTGCTTTGCAGGGGACACAGAAACACACACACGCGCCCCGAGATGGCCCAGTGCTCCAGGGGAGAAGGGCTGGGAGCCAGTGCAGAGCCCAGCAGAGCTGGGGGGGCTGGGTTGTACCCCCACCCTTGGGTGCTGCCCCTCCACACCCCCAGGGCTGGGGCTGTTCCTCCGGCTGCAGTCCCAGGGTACTGAGAAGGGGACAAAGAGGCAGGTTCAGCCCAGAGCCGCTGCCCAGGCTTCACCCAGAGCAGCAGCAGCAACAAATCCCCATGTCTGGGGGCTCCCAGTGAGCCTAAAGTCATCTTTCAACAGGAAAAATCCAAGCCTGGGATGAAAACCAGCACCCATTTCAGCAGCAAGTCCTAAGGGGAGGTCCAAGCACTCGGCAGCCCTGAGCCATCGTCCAGTGCTACAGCACAGCAGCATCCCAGGGAGAAAACAGGTTTCCAGTGGGACGGGGAGTTGGCACCGGTGGCCGTGAGCTGGCCGAGAGGTCCCACCAGGAGCAGGTGCCAGGAGGAAGAGAGAAGATACTTGGTCCCATGTTACCGGCTGAGGGAAACCAGGCCCCGTGCAACAGCCACAGCCGGGAGGACTCAGCACCGGGATCCGTACATGGGGTGACACCGTCCCAGTGCCTGTCCTCAGCCAGTGCTGGGGGCAACAGTCACCTGCAAGCAGAGAGATGGGTGAGACAGCGGCCACAGAGCACCGTGCCCAGGCCCCATGGGCATGTGAAGGGAGTCACCCCCATGTCCCCAGCCCAAGGAACCCACTCGTGTCAGTCTCTGCTCCCAAGGAACAAGGGATGGGACAAGAGGAACCGGCCTCAAGCTGCACCAGGGCAGGTTTAGATGGAGCTGAGGAACAATTCCTGCCCCAGAGGTGCTCAGGCATTGGAACAGGCTGCCCAGGGCAGGGCTGCAGGCACCGTCCCTGCAAGTGTTCACACAGCGTGGAGATGAGGCCTCAGTGCCATGGGTTAGTGGTGGCCTTGGCAGTGCTGGGAACGGTTGGACTGGGTGAGCTTAAAGGGCTTTTCCAACCTGCTTGATTCTGTGAGTCTATGATTCTGTGTCCATCCCTTGATGATGCCCATGGTCATGTTAGCCTCAGGGCACAGCCCAGCTCCACCCCAGTGCTTCCTACAACTGGAATCAGCCCCAAACCCACAAGTAAAGCTTCTTCCCAAGGGCTGAAAGTCTCAGGGTCAGCAGAGCTTTCCTCAGCCACACAAACCAGCGGCTGATGGGATCGTCCAGCGCATGGGGATGACACCCTGGGGTCTACCATCAGCCATCCCAACAGCAGGACAAAGGACAAGGGATCCCTGGGACACGGCACGGAGCCACTGCTCTTAGCACCTCGGGTCCTCCATCATGGTGACACCCCCCAGCACCGCAGTGTCCCCGGGGGCCCCTCACCTCCTGTGCCCGCGGGAGAGGTAGTCCCGGTTGAGCGAGCAGAGCTGCTGCTCCAGGCGGAAGATGCGGAACGCCAGGTACGAGGAGGACACGACCAGGAGGCAGATGCTGGGGGCAGAGGAACAAGCCCAAGTGTTCAGTGGCCACTGGTGGAGTTGGATGTTCCCTTTCCCCCCCACCGCGGCCGCTCCGCACACTCACAGCACGATGAAGACCTTCAGGAGCTGGTAGTCGGAGGGCCTCAGCTCCGCCACGCAGCTCTGCTCCACCTCCAGCTCCTCCTCTGTGTTTATTGCACTTTCTGCAACACAAGCCCGCAGTCAGCAGCACAGCATGGGGCTCATGCAGGAGCCCTCAGGTATCAGCTGCTCCTCCCTCACAGGCGCATGCTGAGGGCTCAGACCCCACAGCCACACCGCATCCCATCCCCAGGACCCCATCACCGACTCCCAGCCGCAACCCTGCTCGTCTGCAAGGCAGGAACTCCCTCCACAAGGGCACGGGATGGATGAGGGCGGCTCGATGGAGGTTTACACCCAGCACATGGTGCGGGGCCAGGCCCAACCCAGCCCGTGTCCTCGCACCAGACACAGCCCTCACCTGAAACCAGGGGCTCCTCGGAGGTGAAGGAGCTCTCCTTGGCGCTCAGGCTGCTGACGGAGGCCCGGTGGATGCACTGGTAGTCGGTGTCCGGCAGCGACAGGGACAGGGAAGCGGGTGACACCTTCCTCCACTTGCCCTCAGGGACAATCACCTCCTGCAGGAACAGCCCCGGGGGAGCAATGGGGCCACATTCAGCACCTCCACCGAGCACCAGCAGACCCCAAACAGCATCCTAAGGTGGAGCTGGTGCTACTTAGGACAACAGTCCCACGGGGATGGAGGTTCCTGTTGCCATAGGAAGGACTTGCCCACACACCCCATGCCTGCCCCGAATCACAGAATCCCAGCCTGGTTTGGGTTGAAGGGACCTTAAAGCTCACCCAGCTCCAACCCCTGCCACGGGCAGGGACCCCTTCCACTGGAGCAGCTTGCTCCAAGCCCCTGTGTCCAACCTGGCCTTGAACACTGCCAGGGATGGGGCAGCCACAGCTTCTCTGGGCACCCTGTGCCAGCGCCTCAGCACCCTCACAGGGAAGAGCTTCTGCCTAAGATCTAACCTAAACTTTCCCTGTTCCAGTTTAAACCCATCACCCCTTGTCCCGTCACTACAGTCCCTCTCCAGCATCCAGTATCAACTGCCACCTCCTCCACCCCTTGAAGCTCAGCATGGCCTCCCACCATCCTCCAAGAGCCCCTCACCTGCCCCATGGCTCAGCATCCCAGAGAAGCACTGAATGGAGCAGGGTGGTAACCGACATGGAGAGGGCTTCCCTTGCTAGTGTGCCTCCAGGGCTGGAGCTGCTGCAGGGCTGCAGCGCTCAGAAGCACCGGGAGGTGCTGCCAGCCTGGATCACTCCTGATTCAGACCTTGGGAAGTGTCTTCAACCCTGGGGATGTCCCCAGCCCTGTCCCACAAGGGCCACTCAAACTGTCACCTCCTGCAGCCAGCCGCTGCACAGGGCCACCGGCCCATGGGGGACACCATGCCCAGTGTCCCCATGTAGCCCAGCACAGCCACAGCTCCATGATGGAACAGAGGCAGGGATGGGCCATCCGTGTTTAATGGAGAGGACACATCCTGCTGGCCAGGGACAAAGCCACCGCGGGCAGAGCAGAGCCCTGCTGTGCTAAAGGCAGCAGGATGAGATCCCTCCTGCTCCCTTGGTCACGCTCATCCCCTGCCCCAGCCTCCTGGCTCTGAGCCATCCCTCTCACCCCGCAGGTTTGGGGATAATTAACCCTATTTCCTGCCTGTTATCCATGCTCATGGCTGTGAACAGCATCAGCCAGCAGGAGCACAGCACCAGCATTTCCCACACTGTGCTGAGTTCCTCCACCTCTGTACGGACCCCCGAGAGCAAGAGGCTCGTGCTCAGGCCCAAACCATCCTCCTGACCCATCTGTTTGTGCCCCCTCAGGGCATGAGCATCCCAGAGGACGCCCTATGAAGGCAACAGCCACATCTTCACATGACCTTTGCCAGCCCAGAGGGGAGAGGGATTGACTCCACACTGGACCTGGCTGCACCAGCGCTGGGAAGGTGCTAAACCCACCCAGGAGGAGTTCACAGGGCTCCTTCCCTCTCCCAGAGCTGCCCTGACCCTCACCAGTGACACAGCATCAGGCTCCTCCGTCAGCTCCTTCAAGCTCAAGCTCTTCTTACTCGAAACCTGGAAGGAGAAAGGAGCAAGGACAGGGTGATGGTGCTGCCCCTCCCTGCCTCAGCCTGCGCCGGGAAACTGAGCATTGACTTTCCTGGAGGGTCTGTGAAGAGCAGCTGCTTAACAGGGATGTGAGGACACAGAAGAGCACCTGGCAGAGGACAGGGCCCTGCACCACTGCTTCCCAATCACCAAAAACCCTACGGGGCCACGGCTCTGCTTGAGCCTCAGCTTCCAGCAGAGGGGATGAAGCACTGTGGGGCGGGAAAGGGGAATATGTAGGCAGAGCCCAGCACATCTCAAAGGATAAATCCCCCACTTTGGCAACGGAGCTGAGTCACCCCAATCACCACCCCACACAGCCAGCAGCCACCCTGCCAGCTGGGGAAGGGCCCTGCCACTGCTTCCCACGTGCTTCAAAGGCAAGGAGAGGGAGATCCCCGCAGTCCTGCTCTCAGCTCCAGGGCTGATGCTCCAGGGCTCTTTCCCCCTTAGACATGTTAATTCAAAGTTTCCTTCACTTTGTACCATGTTTCCTCCCCTTCAGACTCCAGACCTGGGGCCCGGCCCCCGCTGTGCGGAGCGGCAGAACTCGCACTGCTACCGGATTATGCGTAATTCACCTCCACGCCCTGGGAGGGAGCAGGAACTCCGGGCTCTGCCTCTCATCCGTCACCCAGAAAAGCCCAGTGGCAGCTCCTGGGGATAAGATGAGCCCAGGGCACGGCTCCTGTCCCTTGCTGCAGGGTGAGGACACTGGGGAGAGGCAGCAGGGCACCAGGGAGGGCTTTGGGAGCATCTGAAGCCATGATGGGGTTGGGGTTGAAGGGTTCTGCTCCCTGAAACACAGCCCTGGAGGCCAGTGCAGAGCCCTGTGGCCACCGGCACAGGGGGTGTAGGGTACCTGCAGGTGGGTGCAGACTCTCCTCAGGACATCATAGACGCTGTCACGGGAGATGAGGGACACGAAGATGTACTGCAAGAGAAAGAGAGGAGCTGCCAGGAGAGATTCCCCCACCCCAAGTCCTGTTCTCCACAGGCAGGGGACAGACAGAGACGTCCTGCCCTTGAATCTCCCTCCTTTGGAGCCGCATCCCCCTGCAGGCGCCTCCCTGAGGAGTTTCCTGCTGTTCTTTTTGAGGCCACCTAAAACCTGGACCAGATTTTTTTGGGGTCAGTCTTGCTCAGCTGTGTTCCCCGTGGGACCCCGGGGTCAGCCCAGGGGGATGCGGCAGCGAACGGGGCCGGGAGCGATGGAAAACATCCCCATGGGTCGGCACAAGGGGACACTGGGCAGCGCCTCCCTCCCCTGGTGCAGAGCAGCTTTGAACACCCAAATCCTGCTTCAATCCCGCAGGAACCACCCCCTCCCAAAACCCCACGGGAATAACCCTGGCAGGGGATGGGCAACGCATGCTGCTGCCAGCAGGAAAGGACTCAAGGCACACCGGGCAGGACCACATCAGCTCACTGCAGCCAACACCCACGGTGATTTAGCAGCTGGAAATTCAGCCCCTTACCCACGCTGCCCAGCAGCTGGGATGAGCCCCGGCCCCAGCCCCTCCCCTGCTTGTGCTTAAGGAGTTTAAAGGTTTTATTTGAGCCTGGTGGGGATTTGTCAGGCTCGGCCGAGTTTCACTCGGGCTTTGCTTCGCCCAGGAACAAAGTGGAATTCAGAAACAAAAGCAAAGGCACGGTGCTTGCCCTGGCCGGCTGCCAGCACGGACAGCTCTGCTCCACTCCCAGCTGGAATCGCTTCAATCCCTGCTCTCAAAGCAGAGCTAACTGGGAGCAGTTACCTTCCTGCTGGCGTTGGTGGTGATGGCCAGGCCGTTGGGCAGCAGCCGAGCGGTCTTGTGCTTCTTTATCAGCTGCACGGACACCACCGGGATCACCACCTGCAGGACAAAGAGACACAGGGATGGGGCGAGCTCCAGGGGCTCCTTCACAAGGCAGACACGCAGCACACATCAGAGTTACACCCCAAGCAGAGCAGCTTGGGCTGTATTAGAGCTCACGTCATCCCCCTGCGCTAATCTTGGCTCGGAGACAGTTCCTACTCAAGCAAAACAGCAGGGACATGGGGAAAACACCCCCCGGTGAGTCTGAAACCCATCACAAGCCCAGGGAGAGCTAAAACTAAAGCAGGATGTAAGCCATGGCAGGACGACTTCGTTGAACCCCATTGTTCCATCAGGTAACGGCTGATGGAAATAGCTCAGTTCTTCAGCCCAGTTTGGAAGGAAGCTGTCTCTCCCCAAGATCTCAATCAGCCACAAGGCTAACGGGGAACCTTCAGACTGTAAATCAGGAAGAAAAGCCAGGAGAGATTCAAATCTTCCCCCCCCCACCCCAAGCTTTGATCTTCCTTCAAACGCCGCTGCGGTTTGTAGGAGGTTTTACATCAGGGAACTCTAAACCAAACCAATATTTGGTTTCCCCAGGCTGATGCTAGGGGCGATCAGAGGAGGAGGAGCAGCCACACTCCCCTCAGGGGGCTTTCAATGGTGATTTTGGGGTTATGTGGGTGCAGGAGGGGATAACTGCAGTGTAGCCACACCTATGAGCCCCATGGGAGTGGGGTGAGCCGGCCCCAACGTTACCTTGATATCCTTCCCAAAAAGGTTTGCATAGAAGCAGAGCCAGTTGGGGGAGATGTAAAGCCTTCCCTGGATCAGGATGTCCCTCTGGAGCGCGCAGGAGCAAACTGCAAGGCAGACAAAGGGCCATGGCAGACCAGGGGCCGGATCCTGCCACCCCCATGCCCGTCCCTCACTGCATCACCCACCTTTCAACACGCTCTCCTCCGTGGGGATGTCCTTGAACAGTTTGTGGTACTGGGAGTTGTACTTGCTAGCAGCCTGAAAACAAAGCAAAGCAAAGTTATCCGGTGACCTCGTCGGAGAGGAGACCCCTCAGAACACCCTCCTGCAACAAAACCTCCCTCTGCCCGCACCTGGGACCGGCGCAGGGGGGTCCCACCGGGCTGGGGACGCTGGGCACGAAGGGCTGGAGGAGCCGCACCCAGCAGCCGCTGCGCCATCGTCCCAGGTAAACATCCCCCCTTAACGCCTATGGAGGCTGCGGAGCCTCTGCCGGGAGCTGGGCTTCTCCCAGCCTCATCCGCAGGCGATTTATCTTGCCCAGCGGCTTCTCTCCTCCTCCTCGAGCTCTTCCCTTATCCGGGGCACGGTGACAGCTCTTGCTCTGTGCCCATCACACCGCGCCATCCTGCTATTTATATTCCCTCCCGGTGTCTCTTCAAAGGCTGCTGCGGGAGGCTCGCCGGGTTCTGGGGATAAGGGAAAGGCTCCACAGCCGTTCCGAGCCGTGCAGCACGTCAGCCCTGTGAAGGCAGGGCTGTGCCCCCCGCCCCAGAGCTCCCCAGGGACACGGCAGAGCCCTCCTGTCCTGCCCACAGTGACAGGGTCACCTTTGCACCACACAGCCTGGCGCTGGATGAGCTGGGCTGTAAGAGGATCAAGGCTCAGCAGCACCTGGGGTTGGCTCAGACACCCCCTGGAGAGACACTGGGGTGCTGGAATGCTGGTGGGGTGTTTCAGGGGAAGGGGGGGATCGTGGCATCACCTCCAAGCTACCCTCGAGAAACACTCCCTGGCCCCAGCACAGCCCCATAACCCCCACAGAGGCCTCTCATTAATCAGCAAGGTGTTCTTCTTCTCTGTCTGCTTCGTGGGGAAAGGCAAAACAATTCCTCCCTCTGCTCCTGCCTCTTCCAAAGCACCTCCTGTTCGCAGGTGCACCAGAAAGCTCCACTTCGGGCACGATCTGAACAACCAAAAAGGTTCAAACAGATGGGAACTGAGCTGCCTGCAGTCAAGATTTCTGCTCTCTCCTTTGCTTTGGATGGAAAAGCCTGAAAGTGCTTGCGAGGCAGATCACAGACCAGTTGAAACCATCACTGGCTCCCCTGGAAACACCGACAGAAGCCTCTGCCCTACACCAGGAGCAGGCTCCCCCATGGCAAATGGCCAGGGTTGGGCACCAAGGAACCAGCCCGTTCACTCACGAAGCTCAAGACTCACCACTTCCCGGTGGCATTTCTTGATGTCCTCATCCTTCAGGGCTTCATTCAGGCGGAGGCTGGAAGGCAAAACAACAACCATCAGGTGAGTGAGGAGCCCCAGGTCTCACCCGCGCCCTCAAACACCGGAGCTGCAAGAGGAGGCACAGCAAGAGGCAGAGGAAGGAAGAGACCCTGGGAAGGCTCATTTGGATGTTAAGTAACAGCTGATGGTGGAGGCACCAGCATTGGGGTGCCTGTACCCAAATACACCCTAGCACCAGGGGAAGGAGCCCCAGCAGCAGCAGGGACAGGTTAGGAGCAGCTTCAGCCAGGGCAAATGGAAGTTTGGGAACATGCCCCGGCAGGAGGATGGGCCCAGGGGCATCCATCTGCATCCACCATGCCAGCCAATGAGGGGGGAAACTACAGAGACAGTGAAATCCCCCCAGCAATCCCAGCAGCAGGAATACCGGTCCCTTCCCCAAACCCTTCCTTCCCTCCCTGCCAATAGGTAAGAGCAAAACCAAAAGGGGACCCCCTGTGCCCCCTCCGAGCCGGTGGGATACACCTGCAGGCAGCAGGGATGCTGCAGGAGCTCACAACAGGAGGGATAAAGAGCAAACACCTGACTGCAGACCCCGCTGCCCCTCACCTGCCATCGAGGGAATCCAAACTCCTCTGCTTGTGGGATGTCTCCAGCTTCTCACGGCCGTGCATGGGCTCGGGGCTCTTCAGGGGAGCTGCTTTCTCATGCATCGGCTTGGCACTGCGAGGAGAAGCCCGTTAGCCCCCAAGGGAGAGGGAAAGATGGAAGAGATGTGGTTTGGAGCCATAAATGCGCTCCCTTTGGTCCCAGCCTGCACACAGTGGTTGGTATCTGCCAGTCAAGGACAGCAGGAACATTGCTGTGACTTCCCACGTCACGTGGAGGAAAAAATAAGGACGTTCCTTGCCAGGAACTCCTCGGCACTTGCAGCCCAGCGGCCAAAGAGCAGCGCTCGCTGCCATAGCTCCTCCACAGCGGAGCCACTCCTCAGGAGCCAGAGGTTTATGAGACTTCCCGGAGATTCTGACCAGTGAGGGCCAGGATCTGTCCCTCTGTGTTGGCAAAACAGCGTCTTCCCAGGGCAGAGCCCTTGCCAAGGGCACCACCTCCCTCTGTCATCGCTCCCCTCTCCTTAAAGCCTGTTATTTGCTATCATGGGTGTTATCAGAGGAGCTTATCAGCTGTGACAGGTAAAGCAAACACTCTCACAGGGAGGTTATCACCCGATGGGCCAGACAGGTGACACATCCGCCCTCGGCAAACCACAGCCAGAGATTGCTGCCATGCGGCTGGCACCGAGAGCCAGAGCGGAGCGCAGGGCACAGGGGCTGCAGCAGCGACCCACAGGCTCCGGCAGCACGGAGGACCCCGGAAACAGCCCCCGGAATATGGAGAGGGAACTGCTCAAGGGGGGAAGCTCGGCTGCCAGAGCAGGTGGGGCACGGGCAGCACGGAGCTGGAGCACATCCCGGTGCCCGCAGGGGCAATGCAGTGCGGCAGAAGCCATACCAACCGCTTCCTACAGGCAGAGGGGCTCTTCTGCCGCCTCTACTCCCCTGGACGCACCTTGCACCCGCTCCAAGGGACTCATCTGAAGGGAAACCCATCTCGATGACTCCCCACAGCCTCAGGGAGAACCAGGATGGGGGTGCTGCACCCCGACAGTGCAAGACCCCACATCCCTGCAGCCTCAGGGTCCTGCCAAGACGCTGTCCCGATGCAATGGAGCCAGGCTGAATCCCAGCTGGGAGCACAGGGACTGCTCCCGGAAGATGCAGCACACACACGGGGCTGCAGAAAACCTGAACACAAGTGACCGGGCTTGGAACCAGCTCCCCACACCCAGTGTGTGCGAAGGAAACGAGCTGCCCGCACGGTCCCCAAACCCAAGCACTGTGGGGTGGGATGATCACACCGGGGTTTGGGGGTGGTTAGGAGAAGCTCAGGTCAAAGGATGTGTCTGGAAGAGAAGGGAGACTCCACCACCAAGAAGCACCAAAATAACATCTCTTGGCATTGCACCAAAGGCTTTGTCCCTGCCTGATTCCTCAGCCACCCCGTGGCTCTGGGACAGGCAGCCTGTCCCAAATGGTGATGCCACATTGATGCCACACTGCCCTGAAGCCAAAACTTCTACCATGGAGGCACTGATGCCTTCACCCCCCCTGCCCCCATGCTGGACAAAGGGGCTCCAGCCTGCTCCAGAGCTCAGCCTGCTCCAGCTTCCCCTACATCATCCCTTAAATCCCCACTGCTTAATCCAGGCGAGCGGATTTAGCCCTGACCAGGGCTGACGCCAAGGGGCACCACAAAGGGGATGGGGAGAGGGGCCCTTGCTTGAGAAGATGGCACCAAGAACCCCTCCCCAGGGTCACCAAGCACACAGAAATCCCCTGGAATGAGGGCCAAAGGCTGGCGAGCACCCGGAGTGCTCCATGGCCCTGTCCTGGCTTTTCCTCCCCTACACAGCCACTGCCAGGGACAAGTCCTGGGTAAGACGGTCCCAGACACGGTGCCAGGACCAGGCTGCTCCAAGGGAGGGGCTGGGGGCTATGAGGAGCATCCGCAGCCCAGCAGAGACACTGCAGCAGCTGCCTCAGTTGCCCTCAACAGATCTTGCTCTGTCCTGGCTCCCAGATGATAGAGACCTAGGGTAAGATAGGGTTGAGCTCCACAGCTGACGGGGAGGTCTCCCTGCCAAGAGCCACTTCCAGTGCAAGCACAGGGAGAAAACCAGGCTGTCCTCGAGGGATTTGCTTAGCAGGAAGCCGCTCCTGCAGGAAAATCACCACCCCGAGCACCCCAGACGAGAGGCGGAGCAGGAACAGTCGGGCTGTGGATCCCCCAAGACAAGACGGAGCCGATGGGCACAGGAATTCCCAGCAAAGGGAAGACATCGCCGGCCCCTGCCCGCTGTCCCGAGGCACACAGACCCTTCAGAGCCCCCCAGCTCGCCTCCAGGCTGCGGCTTGGCCAGGAGGCGCCCGGAGCTTCTCCCTCTCCCCGGCCCAAGATCTCCCTGTCCTTACGCGATGCTGGGCTCCAGCCTGGGCACGATCCGTCGAGAGCCACTCCAACAGCGCGGGGTTTGCCCTGGATCCCTTCCCCGCTGCCGGCAGGAGCACGGGGGAAGCGCGTGGCAGAGGCAGGCGAGAGGGAGGGCGGGATTTTGCCTCCCAGAACTGAAAGCCGAGGATCAGAGGCAGAGGGAGGCACCTGCGGCCGGGCTGCCTCGGCCCGAGCGAGCCCGGGCGGGATCCGCCGAGCTGCCCTTGTTCCCGGCTGTCAAGGTCATTTCAGTCCCGTGTGCTGGCTGCTGGAGCGGAGCCACGGCCGAGGATGCTGGAGGGGAGCGGCGGGTCCCGAGCAGCGCTGTCAGGGGAGAGACGGGAGGTCAAGGCCGGCACGGAGACCCGGCTCCGGGTGCGTGTGTGCCGCAGGGCCCCGCGCCGCAGGCGGCCTCCCTCAGTGCACCCGGGTCCCCCCACCCAGGAACGGCCCGCCCCGGGGCGCTGCGCCCGGTGGGTCACAGCCGGGCCCACAGCCAGGGCCTCGCTCCCAGGGCCGCCCCCAGCTCCCGGGATACCGGCTTACACCGGCTCCGAGAAGGCGCGGCCGCGGGCCCCGCGGGGCAACCCCCGGCCAGGGGCAGCTCGTCTGCTGCCCAGCACCGAGGGCAGCTCCCGGGGCCGGCCCCAGCCTCCGCCGGGGCTGGGAGCACCCCTCGGCCAAAGCGGAACCAGCGGTTCCCGGGCCGGGCAGCGCGGTTCCCCCCCGGTCCGCTCCGTCCCCTCAGAGCGAGAGGCGGGGCTCGGTGCTTCCGCGCTCCCCTCACGGCGCGGCGCCGCCGGCCGGGGGCAGGCCGAGGGCGGGCACCGGGCTCGCAGCGGCAGCAGGGGGGGAGCCCCGCGGCTCCGCCCCGCGCCCCGGGCACCCCCGGACCCTGCCGGTGCCCCCGCGGCCGCCTCACGCCGCCCCCCCCCCGGCCCTACCTGCGAGGCGGCCCCGCGCTGCCAGGCGCCGTCATGCCCCGCGCGCCCGGCCTCCTCGCGGCACCCCGGCGCCCTCCCATTGGCGGTCCGCCGCCAAGCCCCGCCCCCTCCGCTCACCCGCATTGGGGGCTGCCACCCGCGCCGTGCTCAGCCCTGCCCCCTCGACCACGCAGCCTCGCCCCGCCCACTGGCGGGAGGGGGCGGGGCTTAGCCGTGACCCACCTCTTAAAGCGCCCGCGGAGGGCCCGGTTACCGGAGCCGCTCTCCTCCGGGTAGGGGAAAACGTGGCCCATGGGCGGGACCGCTGCCCTGGGCCAGGGTCCAGGTCTCCTCCACCCGCTGCCAGCAGAATGACCCCAGGCACCCCCCTCCCCTCCACCCCGAGACAAGAACCACGGCAGGTGTGGGTGCTTCAGCTTGTCTTTATTGATGGACAGTGGTGCTCTGACTGCCCCAGGGGCCTGTGGAGTGCAGGGTGCAGGAGAAGGCTCTGGGGACACACACACACACACAGCTAACATGGTGACAATGCAGAGGGAGGGGAGTGCAGCAGAGGGGAACACCCCTCTTCGACCCCCACCCCTGGGACAAACAAGGTGAGGGGCTGGATAAGTCTGATTTGGTCTGTGCCTCCAGCGAGGAGGGGACAGTGGAGGAGTTAGCCACCATCGCCTCCCCCCTTCCCCATCACCCCAAACCCTGAGGCCAGTCCTACACTGACAAGAACTCACTACGCCGACTCCAACATCGACCAGGGCACAACTTCACTACAGGGAGAGGGCTTAAAAAAAACTAAACACTTCAAGTATGTACTTTTATAGTGATTTAAGGTCTCTTCCCCCTGCTGCTGCTGCACTGGGTGGTGTTTAGCAACCTACGTCCACGCTAGGGAGAAGAACAGCGCAAGCGATGGCGGGCCTAACGCGAGGGGAGAGGGGAGCGAGGGGAAGGGGGAAGGAAGGTGGTTGGTGCTGGTTGGAGTCAAGTTGCTCAAGGAACGGGCACCACACGCATGGTGTTGGTGTAGCCGGAGCCAGGGCGCCAGCCCGTCAGCACAATGACCAGGTCACCGCTCTTGAAGAACCCACGTGCTTTGCCTAGGAGAGAACAGAGCAAGGGGTCAGGGCTTGCAACATCACATCACAGCACCCACCCTACAGAGGGACACCCAAGTTGATATCAAAGCCCCATCACTGCCCACCCCTCTGTTTTGGGCTCTGTTGGGACAAGGAGCTGAGAATTCCACGGCACAGAACTGGGAGAACAGGAAAGGAGCCACCCTGCTCTGCGCTTCTCATCCTTCAGGACAAGCATCATGTTAAAGCCAACCCTGTTTTCTGCCAGAACCCATTCTAAGGCAGCCGTGCCAACCCTGCCGGCCTATTTCTCAAGCGGATGTGGCTGCACTCATGCAACTGCCATCCCGTTTCCCAAACGGACACCGTTACCACACAGGCAAAAAGCTCCTCTCCCTTTGTCACCGGTCCCCACTAGTACCCCCAAAAGCACCTTTGGGGCTCAGGACCCCCATGTCCCAACCTGCCTGATCCCTCACTCACCAACATTCATGCCCAGGTTGACGCGGAGGTCCACGTCCTCAGCCCAGGCGTCCAGGGCTGGCTCTTTGCAGAGGACAGGGAAGATGCCGCGGTAGAGGTGTGCCTGGCGCGCGGTCTGGTCATTGCGGGTCACCGCGATGATGGGAGCCCGCGGGCGGTACCGGGACACGAGGTGCGCAGACCTGTAAGGACAACAGAGGGTGAAGCACCACGCCACAGGCACAGGGGGAGCCCGTGTACAGCCACAACAGCACAAGCAGCAGCCAGGTTTGCCCACTGAACTCCACACACCCCTGCAGGGATCAGAGGATGACCCACGGGAGATGCTGACAAGAGCCAAGCTCACCAAACCAGCTGGATGCTCCTCTGAATTCCCAGTTTGGAAGCTGGGCAGGCCAGCACCCTTGGCAGTGGTGACCATCATCTTGCCTCCGCGTTTAAAGCGCCATCTGGGTGTTTTGGTCCCGAAAACAAGCATGTATTTGTCTCCGTTGCTATGTTAAGGTGGCGAGGTGCCATTTATTCCGGCCTCTGCAAGCAGCCCTTGGCATCTCAATGGGGGTCCCTGCAAGCTCCCTCTGCTTTAAGGAGCTCCTGCTTCACAGGATGGGAAGAGCCTGCACTGCAGCCATTTGCCTCCCAGCCACGTTCACCTGCTGAAGGCAGCTCCTCCACACAGAGCTCTGCTCTTGCACCCAACAGGAAGCAAATGCCACCGAGGCCAAACTTTAGAGTGGAACTTTGGGCCTTAAAACACCTAGAAGAGGAAGCAGCACACCCTGGGTGGGGACTGCAGCTTCCTTTTCCCCGGGCACTGCAAATGGAGATGGAAACTGCAGTATTTACAGCTCCATCTTTCCAACAAAGCACATCAGGACCTCCACGAGCTTTTGCAGCCTCATGTAGTGGAGCCAAGCTCAGAAGATTCAGGTCTGCTGCTCAAAGCAGGCAGTGGGAGCCTGCTGGAAGCCCCCAGACACACAGGCCAGCTCTTAAGACAATCCTTCCCACGCTGCCCAAGAAGCCCCCCAGCAGCTCTAGGACATGCAGGTACTCAAGGGCTGTAACCGAATCCACAGCTAAAAACATTCAGAGTTCTACTCTCTTTAGACAGGTCAAGCGTGAGGTGGAACCTTTCACAAGGAACATCACGAGCATGAGGGTGTCCAGACTCGCTGTTACAGTCACTCCTCGTTTCAGCAGGAAGCAGCTGCTTCAAACCATTGGAAGCTGTAAATTTAGGTGAAGGATTCACTGATGGTCCAGATCTTCAGGCAGACTGTGCATCTAATCACATCTCTGCTGCTGCACTGTTCTCCTTCGGTCCAAATCCAGTGCAAGCAATTCCAGAAGCAGTATGAGACTTATGGTCGGACGTGCTTTGGGAATGGGCAGCCTAATTCCTCTAGAGAGAAAAGCTGACCAGCTCCAGCTCCCTTTCCATTGCTGGAAAAGTGAGTCTCTGCTCACACTGTGGGATGGAAATCCCAGACTCTAATGGTCCCAGCGTATCAATGTTGCTGTCACGCACCCGCAGCAAAGGCACTGAGCTCATCTGTGAGCACAGGCAGCACATGGCTGGTGGTGCCTGCCTGGTCAGCGAGGTTAACACAGGCAGGGGCATGAGGAAGAGGAGATTTCCAACACTCTGTTTCCCTCCCTAACAATCCTAAGCAGTCCCTCTTCGCCCCTCAGGCTCGGGTCAGCAGGGGACCAAGAATTTGGATGCTACTATGAAAGGCCAAGGCCTTGATTTAAATAAATAAATAAATGAAATGGATTCTGCGTCCACTGAACGTGTTACATCAAGGATTTCTTGCCAAGAAATGTGAACGGAAGCTGCACCACTGATTTTCCCTTGACTCTTCCAGCCAGCGCTGCTGGCAGAGATGCCATTCCCAGCTGGAAGGGGAGGCAGGGTTTGGTGCCGATGCCACGCTGGCAGAGGCAGGCGGGGGAACTTGGAGGTTCTCTACGTGCAGATGTTCCAGATGTGTGCCCATCTCCAGGGAACCAGCACTGCAGCACGGAGCCGGGCTCTCGGTCACTGCCAAAGCCCGGCTTCACCACTATGGCTCTCCTTTCAAAGCCATCTTTATGCGAGTCTCCTTCCCCCACCCTGTCACAAGGTTGGCTTGACCTGGGGGGACCTGTCACCTCCTACCTTCCGGACTTGGTGAGGACAATAATGGCCCCGCTGCAGCACTTGAAGGACGCTTCCACAGCGCCAACAGCAGCGGCCTCCGTGGGATCACAGTTGAGGGACGTCAGCCGACGCAGCTCCTCAAACAACTGCCTGTGAAAGATGGCGGCTTCGGCCTCCCGGGCAATCTATAAGAGCAACACGCGTTCGGGAAGACAACACAAGGCTCACGTCAGGCGCTCCGGGCAGCAGGGCGAGGTGCTCCATCACGAGGTGCCACACAAACACCATTAGCTTTGACACAGGAGTTGCCACTCAGAGAGCCCAATTATCTGGGGCAGTGCCGCAACACGCGGGCACCCAAACAGCACATGGCTGGTGAGCGAGGAACCAGCTGGTCCTCAAGGTTTCTTTGCCAAACTGGTGGCACCTCCGGAGTCACCTCACCCTGCCGAGCCCACACTCGGTGACATTCATGCCAACTGCCAGGCACTCTCGCTCTGCTCCTGCCTACGGAGTCCCTCCCTGTCACAGAGAAGTCAGCTCAGACCACAGCAGTTGCACAAGGCTGATAGGGCGGCAGCGAACCGCTTGCTAAGCATTGGCAGTGCTAAAAGGGAGCGTGTTTGTATTCATGGCACCAAGCCCCCTCTCTGAGCCCTACCTGCCAGACTCGGTCAGAACTATCAGGGCTGGAGCTAAGCACTTAAAAGAGGCCTCCACTGCGCCTACTGCCATGGCATCAGCAGGGTCTCTGTTGTTAACATTGAGGCGTAAAATCTCTTCGAACAGCTGACGATGGAACATTGCGGCCTCAGCCTCACGAGCGATCTGCAGCCCCGAGCAGGAGCCACGGAGGAGGAGAGAGGAAAGAAAAGGAGGGAAGATACACCAGAGGAACATGAGATCACATTAATTGCCTTAATTGTCACAGTAATGCATGCAAGAGGATATTAAAGGTCAAGCTGTGAAGCTCTTCTTGGCTCTCAGGTTGGGAGTTTGCTGAACACAACCCAGTAACACCACAGCCGCGCTGGCTGCTCCACCACATCACTGAACTGGCGGGCAGTGGTCATGGGGCCAGCATTCCATAGGTGGCATTCCTGCTGTATTTTGGAGTCCTTTCAGCGCAGGCAAACACTGACTGCTTTTCAAGGAGCAGAGCAAGCCAGCTCAGAGTCAGAGCGCTTTGTTGCAGCTGCTTATTACTTCCTTCAGTGTTACTTCTCATGCCATCTACCAGCCCTCTGATGGTCCTGCCCACAGCTCCTCAAGGGGAAACCTCTGTAGCTCCATGTCTCCTTCCCAATACCCACCCAGCAGCACACAGCGCTGCTGGAACAGTCTTCATGGAGCCAACAAACCATCAGTGTGCTTTCAACATCACCCTGAATTTGGGAGACTGTGTCTCTCAGCTTCATCAGATTTAGTTTAGCTCGAGAGCCAGTAAAGACTTAGTTTAACCTGAGAGCCAATAAAGTTTCACCTCCAAGTGCTATAACAACTGCTCTTTTGGCAATAGAGAAATAAAAATAGGAACAAGTCTTCCTTATAGGGTTGTCACAACACGTTGGGGTGTTTTGTGCAGTGCCAGACAAGGTAAGGAAGCACATCTAAGGGCTTGCTGTTCAGACTAAGCATTCGCCACAGGTCCAGCAACCTGTTCATCCTCATGTTTAAAGACAATTCTCATCTCAGAAGGCTGCATTAGCCCCTGACAACCCAATAAAGAAGGCTTGCGGAGATCAGAAAAGCATGCAAAGGTTCATCATCTTTTTGGGACAACTCCATCCAGTTGTTGCTTTAGAAACTGAGCAGCCACTCCACAAAGCATGACGAGTTATATTTGAGCAGAAAGTGCCATTAGAGTAAATGGCTTTGTCATTAGACCCCTTCCAAATATCAGTTTTGCTATTCTAATGTTAATTAATTGCTTTACATGATGCCAGGAATGATCCCTCTTCCACAGATATCAGTTTAAGCCAAAGTAGTTAAGTATCTTATGTCTAAAAATACCAGGACACATGTGACAGGCAGGAACAGCAGCCCAGTCCTTAACTCCACACCACCACTGCCATTACTCACACAGAAATGGCCAGAGGGGTTCCAGCTGTTACATGTGCAGAGGTACCCGGGTGGAGGTGGGAGAGAGGAAAATAGCAGCTATCTAAACCTCAGTCCTGTCAGACAGCATGGCCAGGGCGGCATCTGAGGAATGCGGAGTGGAATTGGAAGGAATCCCACTCCCACAAGCAGAGAACAGCCTGCCCAGTGTTTGGAAGCTTGCTACTAGAGGCACAGGGTATTTTTGTCACAGAGGTGCCAGGTACTGAAGAGCAAACTTGTTTCCATGAGGACAGTGAAAAGGGATCACTGTGGAGGCCCAGGAAAGCTGCTGGGACAGGGATGGACAGGTCAGGTCTCTTCGAGAGGTGCAGGGATACCACACAGAGCAGACCCTGACCTGAGAGCCCCCGTTCACTGTCTACCCCTCACTACAGAGGGAGCTTTACCTGGCATACTCCAGTAGCAGCACTGGGTAAGTACATAAACCCAAACTGACCCCAGTTTCGGGCCAGGGAATGCATAGAGGGGCCGCTCTTCACCAGAGCTCTCTCCCTGCTGTGACCACTTGGCCATTGCCAATGGAAATATTCAGCTGCTCTGGCCATGCTGCAGATGTTCAGCCCATGGTTACCCAGGGCACTACTGCTGGGGCTCCTCTCAACTAACACCAAGCCAGTCAGCTCAGATGAAAGGGGCTGTGCTTCTACCATCGCAGAGTTGGCACCCTGCTGCCTGGGCCATGCTATGTTAAACAAAGTCAATCTGTATTTACTCTTCAGTGTTTCTCCAGAGGCCTGGCAGAGCAACACCACAGTTCCCAGGTCTGCAGCAAGAGGGAAGCACATGCAATGGATCCTGAGCTCAGGGTACAGGTACAATACAACCTGCTGAGCCTAGGAATTAATGCCAGAATGGAACCCCAGATAGAAGGCTTCCTGCAGCAGGTTTCCAAGTCTTGGTAGAAAGTCAGCCCTTGTGATTTAGGAGGTGAAAACTGAGGGAGAACCTTTCAGTTGCATCGTTAGTGTTCAGCCTGTAAACCAGCAGTTACTGGTTACATGAAGTCATATATTGCATTTTCCACTCCAAAAACCCCCAACACACATATTGCCCAGATAAAAGATTACTTCCATAATGCACTGCAAACAAACACTAGCTGAGTTGATTCATCTCTAAAGCCTGAATTGCACATGAAACTGGTGGGAGTTAGCACTGCTGCAAGTCACAGCACTGGTAACTGAGGAGAAGCAACACTTGGACACTCATCAGCTTTCCATCAGCCGCAGCGCGAGCTGGGTGAAGTCGAAGCAGAGCAGAGGTTTCTGGCAGTTCAGGCATGGAAAACCACGGTGCTGTTGGTACTCATGCAACACACCCCAACCCTGAGCACACCAGTGCTGCAAACCGGGCTCAGGAGCCTCCCCTGCCCCCAGAGCCAGCCCACACCTTTCATTATCTACAGATAAACCACTTAAGCGGCTCCTCGACCTTGGAGAAGTTTAAGGCATTTAATATGCCACAACAAACAGGGCATTTGGAGAAACTCACACCAAGGTAATGGCAACCCCCTTCTTTACCCTAGCCTAAAGAATTAAGTGTGAGAAATGTGAAGTTTAGATTCTGGAGCACTGCAGTGCAGTTCTCAGCTCTGCCTGGCCATGCCTGGGAGCACACAAAATGAGGTTTTTCAGGCCCTCAGGACCACACTAGATAAAGAAACATTCACAGCATGAAGAAACAGCCTCAAGCTGCACTAGGGGAGGTTTAGACTGGAGATTAGAAACAATTTCTGCCCCAGAGGGTGCTCATGCATTGGAACAGGCTGCCCAGGGCAGGGCTGTAGTCACCGTCCCTGCAAGTGTTCACACCCTGTGTACATGAGGCCCTCAGTGCCATGGGTTAGTGGTGGCCTTGGCAGTGCTGGGAACGGTTGGACTAGATGAGCTTAAAGGGCTTTTTAACCCAGCTCATTCCATTACTTTGGGCTGTGAGGTGCTGCCACCAAGCCTGAGCCACATGTAGATGTCCAGGTGCCTGGCTCAGGTGGAAGATGGGAGCACTGGAGGACTGCTCCCAGGAGCCAAGGCAGTACTCACAGCGTGCTGCATGCGCACAGCCTCCAGCGGGTAGTCTCCCTTGGCAGTCTCTCCGGAGAGCATGATGCAGTCAGCTCCATCCAAGACAGCATTAGCAACATCACTGCCCTCAGCGCGGGTCGGGCGAGGCTTCTTGATCATGCTTTCCAGCATCTGGAAAAGAGGAAAGCCAAAGGAATCAAGACACGGCAGAAGGAAGCTGCTGCTTTTTCACCAGTGCACTTCAGTGTACTTTATATATAGGGCAGAAGACAGAGCGCAGCTTGAGGAGTTCTACCCTGCGCAGAGGAACCAGTTTTGAATTAAAGCATCTTCCTGCAAGACAAATCAACTCATTTAATTTTGTTTCTCTTCCTCATTCACTCCTTTTCCAGGGGCATTTAACCCACACAACACCACAGACCCAATACTCCTGCTTTCCAATTGAACTTTCCAGCACAGGGCTTGGCCCAAGGAACTCTGAGCTCTCTAGAAGCTGAATCCAGCCCCATGTTCCCAAATTAGTACCTACGGGGCTGTTTCTTTCATCTAGGAAAAGGAGAACAGCGAGGTCATGCACCAACTAAAGTCACCTTCATCCAATGCAAGATTTCAAGCTCTTTAACATGTCATCTCGGAACAGCTGCCACCTGCCTCCTAAGCATTTGCTCTGAGGAGAGCAGCAAACAACAGGTTTCACAAGAAAAAGCTCTTCCTTCTCATTAGCTCTTCCTGCCCCCTGCTCCCAGCAGCCAGGGTCCCTCCACACGCCCCAGCCTGGCCTGCTCTTCTGTCTTGCCCAAGTGGCTCAGCTTTCCCCAGCTGCAGCTCACCACTGGGCAAACGCCACTCATGAAACACCACCCGAGGCTGCGCTTCAGCTGCAACACAGGAAGAGGAAGGAGCACACACCACTGCGACACACAGCCCTGCCTGGTGGCTACAGTTCAGAGACAGCTTGTGCTTTCGCAGCCTATGCACAGAGCAAGTGCAGCCAGGAAACCAGTCTCCCCAGTGACTGACTGCTGTGCACACATGGCATCTACTGGAACCAGTGAAGCTGAGCACCAGCTCTCCTTCTCCCACTCCCAGAATAATGAGGGGATGGATCCTTCCCTCAGTTCCTTCTGATGCTGCAGTGTGGGCACATCTTCCCAAGTGTTCTGTTAGACACAGATGTGCTGCTACAAGATGCCAAGGCAAAAGCACACGCCATCTTCTTCCCCAGAATTTCGTTATTCAGCCCAAAAGGCTCACAATGCCTTCAAGGGGTGAAACCTTCAGCAGCCACACCAGAGGTCTTGTAACCTTGCTGGTGAAGATCTCGAACATCTTTAAAGCAGCACCTCAAGCTATGAGCAAACCCTCTTTGCCCTAGGCATCTCACTCTAGTGAACAGTCACACCATGAAAGTTACTGACATTCAGACCCTGTGTTCCCATTGCATTTCCAGTACCTGAGTGGCACAGATGACGGGCTTACCAGCCCTGTTGCAGCGCCCAATCATCATCTTCTGGGCAAGGAAGACCTTTTCAGCAGGGATCTCGATGCCCAGGTCACCACGGGCCACCATGATGCCATCACTGGCCTCCAGGATCTCATCAAACCTGACAACAAGAGAAGAGGTTTGTTACCCCATGTGCTGTGCGGAACACCTCCTGTTCTCCCCTCCATGCCATTCCAGTATCCTGGAATGCCAAGGCAGGAGGAAGAAAACCAAAACCAAATCACAACACGTATCAAATGCCACATCAAACTTCCTAAAAACTCACCTGCGCACACCCTCATGGTTCTCAATCTTGCTGATGATCTTGATGTTCTTTCCCTTTTCCCCTAGCACGTTCCTGACAGCATGGACATCAGCAGCTTTGCGGATGAAGGAAGCAAACACTATATCCACATTCTGCTCCACGCCGAATTTTAAGTCCTGGATATCCTTCTGAGAGACTGCAGGCAGGTCGACAGCGGCACCAGGCAGGTTCACTCCCTTCTTGCTGCCCAGCATGCCACCGTTCTCCACCTCCGTCATAACGTAGTCCTTGCCTGAAAGGGATGTGTTCCTACAGTCAGTGCTTACCAGAAGCTCCCACACCACCTCCCTGCCCCAAAGCACAGGGCCAGTAGCGACCACACACGATAGAAGAAAGCACATCATCTGTCTCTTCAGAGCATTTATATAACACACAAGATTGCAATTTACCCATGGCAGCACAACAGACTGACCTAAAACCACTCTTGCGCTGCTCTTGGAGAAGATGCTCTTTGTTCCATGCAGGAAGTTGGGACTAACTCTCCCAAAAAAGCTACCATGCTGCCCTTGTGCACACACATGTCCTATCCTGTCATTCCAAACTGAGACCCTGAAAGCCTCACCTCCATCTCCCTACACTCCAGGATTTGAGGCAACACCTTGAGGCTGGAGTGGTTTAGGCAGCACTACAAAGGACTAATCCCCACCCCTACACTACCAGTTAAAGCCAGTCCTGTCTCTAATCACAAAACTCAGGGTCTATACTATAAAACTAGCTAAATCCTGCATAAAAGTATAAATTACCCCCACTGAACAGCCTTTGATCATGAGCACTGTATATCCCTTCCACACATACATCGCTGAAAAGGGGGTTCAGATGACAGTCCAGTGAAACCAGATGAAGCTTTTGTACACTTGCTACACTTGAGGTAGAAAACATTGTGTTCAAATTCTCACTGTGGCATTAACACCCATTTACTCATTGAATCATACCATAGAATGGTTTCGATTAGAAGGGTCCTTAAAGCTCACCCAGTTCCAACCCCTGCCACAGGCAGGGACCCCTTCCACTGGAGCAGCTTGCTCCAAGCCCCTGTGTCCAACCTGGCCTTGAGCACTGCCAGGGATGGGGCAGCCACAGCTTCTCTGGGCACCCTGTGCCAGCGCCTCAGCACCCTCACAGGGAAGAGCTTCTGCCTAAGAGCTCAGCTCAGTCTCCCCTCGGGCAGGTTCAAGCCATTCCCCTTGGCCTGTCCCTACAGGCCCTTGTCCCCAGCCCCTCTCCAGGTTTCCTGCAGCCCCTTTAGGCACTGGAGCTGCTCTAAGGTCTCCCCTTCAGGAGCCTTCTCTTCTCCAGGCTGAAGAACCCAAACTCTGTCAGCCTGTCCTTCAATACCCAACTGCAAACAAAAAAAGCAGTTACCAGAAGGAAAGCACAAATATGTTCAGAGGCAAAACCAGACAGGCAGAGCTGTTGCTACCCACCTCTCTCCTTAACCAGCAAGGAAATCAGACCATCATCCACGTAGATTTTGCTGCCAACTTCTACGACCTTGGTGAGGTTCTTGTAGTCCAACCACAGGACGTTCTCGTCGCATTTCTCCATGAAGGCATCATCCAGGGTGACTTTGAGCGATGAACCTTTCTTCAGCTCCACTTCTGCTGTGCCACTCTGCGTGTCAAAACATGCAAAAGCACTAAAAACCAGCACGCAACCACCTCCCAGCCAGCACCTGATCATCCAGACCTGGGTACATGGCTCATTACCTTGGCCCCAGAGACATTTTTCATTTGGGAAGGCCACAGGCATACCAGGGTGCCCAGGCTCACATGGTGAGTAAGACAGGGAGAAAAGGCAGAAAGAGCAACTTACTCCCTTAATGAGTCCAGTTCGGATTTCAGGTCCCTTGGTATCCAGTGCAATAGCCACAGGTCTGTAGGTGATGGGATCAGAAGCAAAGCTCTCTGTAGCTTCTCGCACATTCTTGATTGTGCCCTCATGATACTGGTGAGGAAAGAGATGGAAACGTTCAGGCCGTTTCTACACCAACACTTATGAAAGGTATCATTACACACCCCAAAAGCTGCCCCAGACAAAAGCTCTGCTCTTGCACCACATTCAATTTTAGTTGTAGCTTGAGAGTTTAATTCAGACTGAGCCTCCAGAGAAGCAGTGCATGAGGATACAGTGGCCTTCCCCACATGGAAGTGGAGCCCAGCACTTATATGGTTGTGCCTTCACTGGCCCCACTTGTAATCCCAGAAAGACAACTCCAGCAGACAGCCCAGGCAGTTAATTTTTCATCAGGACACACACTTGCCATCTTAAGATGGCCCACGAACCAACAGGCCTTTAGGAAGAACGCTTCCAGAAGCTCTACCCCAGTGCTGACTGCCCATAGCCTTCTTCATGACCCCTCTTATCAGTCCCACATGTGAGCAGACAGACAAGGTTTTTTTTAGGACTCTTAAGCTTCAACTTCCCCTGAAGATAAAGGATTTGCTGAGAGCACGTTATCTACTGAAGTATTTTGAGACCCAAAGCAATCACAGCCGGAAGTTCAAGATACCCGCACCACGCACCCAACTTCCCAACTTCCACACATGCAAAAGCATTTTGTCCAGACAGCCAGTTCCGTGGGGAAACTCCCATCCAAACCAGCTCAAACAAGCTTCAGATGACCAGCAGATCAGTTTACCTTACTTGCTTAAACAACATAAAGAGATAACCTTGACTGCAGATTGTATGACACTTGACAGACTTTTGTAGATAAGAAATACCCTTTCCCCTCTGATTGCCCGACCAGCAGCTTTTGCTCTGACTCACCTGAAAGCACTCTGCTCCCCTCATGCCAGTCACCTGCCTTGACATGAGGCCTGCACACCCACTTCACGATCACAGGGATAGTATCCCAGCACCAGGAAGGCAGGGCCAGAAAACGCTGTTCTAAAGTTCATGTGTGTGCCCTCAGCCATAGATACACTGCAATAGCTAATCTAGAGCAGGAAGTGTGATTTAGTTTTATTGATTGAGGGGGAACGTTGAGACTGAGAAGACCCCAACCCTTCCACACACCACAGTCTAGGTGTGTGCAGTTCAGAAACCCTGCCTGAACAGTGCCATCGTGTTTACCTGGTCCCAGCCTCCTGGGATTTTTACTTCTTATGTTGATAACAAGGAATAACTTGCTCCTAGGAATCTGGCTTCCTCCAGGGTTACATATGCAGAACAAGAATGTGGGCAGAGCTGGAAGTGAAAGCCATTTTCTTCTATATAAAAAGCTTGCAGCCAGGTGCTAAAGCCATTCTGTTAAAATTGAAGCCCTGTTAAATGCTTTGGGCAGACACAAGAATTGAGAAGAACTGAAGCACTTGCAATGGATGAAAACCCTTTGGGGCTTCACTAGAAACTGGGAAGTTTTGGAGGAACCAGGAGGAGACTCAAACTTAAGACTGGGTACAGCCAACAGCCAAACAGAAGGTGACAGCAAGACCAGACTCTGCTGTAGCCTCACCTCATCTGTATGAACTGTACAAATAGAGCTCACCCAAAGCAGAAAGCCACAGTCCCTGTGCTCAACCTCAGGAAACAAGTGTTCAAAGCACAGCAGCAGCTCCGCTGGGCAAGAATGGTGTGAGTTTAAGCACTGGCCACCAACTGGCTCCCTGAGGAGCCAAGAGACCCCAGCACCCCCCAGCTGCAGGGTGCCACTGCGAGGGGCAGAGTTACTCCACACTCCTCTTTCTCCCGGTGGATTCTAACTGCAGGCTGTGCACTGACACTACCCCAGGGTCTTTAGTTGAGCTCTGATGGTTTTGCAGTTAAGCACCAGACCTTTCCATTCTGACAGCGCCCTGTGGCCTTTAAAGGCCACGAGGGTGAGAGGCCAAGCTGTTACACCCCAGGAGGCTCACGGTTCAGTAAGTAAAGCCACCTACAGCTGCTACTGGCTACCGCCTGACATTTTGAATGCTGGAGGGCAGCCAGGGTAAAAACAGCTCAGCAGAAAGGCTCAGGGTGCCATTCCAAGCAACCTGGAACGGGATCCTCACCTCCTCCAGTATCACTGAGCATCTATTTATACCAGTAAGGGCTCGTCTGCCCCAAACAGTGTTGATTTCTTTTGACCTTATTCCCATATGCTCACTGCACCACCTCCCCAGCATCACAGTGCTAACCTCATGACTGCCAGGAGCCTCACCAGAGCAGGTTGACTGAGCAAGGCCAGGAGTTCAATTCTTTCAACTAAGCACGGTAATTACTTCAAATCACTAACAATTTTCTTTTGAGACAAGGTTATTCATTGATCTGCTTGCAAAACCCCCAGCAATGAAGCAAGACGAGCAACTGGTAGTTCTGTGATCCTCTGAACAGCAGGAGAGGGATAAATGCTGCTGCCTTCTGACTTTCTTAACTGACAACCAGGAGCTTTGTACAGGGAATGGCAGGACATGAGGAAGAACAGAAGGGTTTCACGGCAGGCAATGAAGTTGGGACTGAAGTGTCAAATATCAGTTACCTGGCTTCCTGGCACAGAGAAGGGAGTGGAACCAGTCTGAACTGCTTTCAAAACTTAACTGTTATCAGCGATTACACAGGCTCAATAAGCACAACCAGCATGCTTCCCCCTAAGGTTCACCTTCCCACACCAAGACTAGTCTGGGCTGAGCTGGATTTCCCTCTTCTGTGAGAGAGTCAGCAGACACATGGTCCAGTCAGGCCTTATCAGCTCAGACCCGCCCTTACCTCATGAGTGCCGTGAGAGAAGTTGAGGCGGGCAACGTTCATCCCAGATTTAATCATTTCTTTCAGCTTCTCCACCGAGCGGGAGGCTGGGCCTAGGAGGAAGAATCACAGACAGGTTTAGGTTTCAACAGGACACCAAAAGCTCACCTAGTTCCAGCCCCCTGCCATGGGCAGGAGCACCTTCCACTAGAGCAGCCCTATCTAACCTGGCCTTGAACACTGCCAGGGATGGGGCAGCCACAGCTTCTCTGGGCACCCTGTACCAGTGCCATGCCACACTCACAGGGAAAGATTTCTTCCATTATATCTAATCTCAATCTCCCCTCTATCAGTTTAAACCCATTCCCCCTTGTCCTGTCATTACATGCCCTGAAGCACCTGAAGCTTGAATATTAACTGCAAAAATCATGAGATAACCCCCTCACAACAGGCTGCTTCATGTGGAACAGAAAAGGTTCAATGGATACAGACTCACCCAGCACTGAAGCAGATCATATCTGCAGCAGCAAAGGCTGTTTTAACTTGCCTTGAGAAGCTCAGCAGAGCCTAAGCAGTCCTGAGCTCCACAGCTACTGGATTCATTCCTAGCAATAACATGGGTCAGGCAGACATGGGAAAACCATGTTCTTTCAGCACACAAGTTCAGCCCTGGCAAGCGATGAAAGCTTCTCCCAATTTCCCTAACAAGTTTCACCACACAGGGCTTCCCAGCTACAATCCTAGCTAGGAATCACCTACCGATGGTGCAGATGATGCCCGTGTTCCTCGCGATGGTTGGCTCTGAGTCAATGTCCAAGCGGCACATGTGCTCCAGGAAGGTGTCAGCCATGGCAGCATGCAGCTGCTGGGTCTGGATGAAAGCAGTCCCTGCATCGTGGTGCTTCGACATTGTTGCTGGAATCCTGTGTCTGGAAGAGAAGAAAGTGGTGCCAGGTTTAGGAATCACCCAGACTGGCTCATCAAGCAGAGACACCAACACACCCACGTGATGAATATGGAGGTAACAAGCAGGCTGCTACTGGGTCAAGCTATCTTTATGTTCCTACTTGAGAGTCTTAGATACAGGCAAGACATACTTCTATTTCCATGTCATCCCCCACATACACCACCCAAAGCTCACCTGCCTTCTATGCAGATGTTCCCTTCATAGCTTCTCTTCATTGCCAGTCTTCCCTTGGAGCTACACAACGCAACAAAATTCAAGCACTTGAGTGCACAGGCAGAGACTCTGCCTCCTCCCTCCCAGCTCTCAAGTCATTTCTCCTACAGGCCTCCAGTGCACATCCCATTGCAACCAGGGAGCGGGACAGCGCGGCGCAAGCACGACTGTAGACACTCTTACACAGGCAATCTTCTGCTGAGGAGCACCTAATCATGGCAATGATTAACTCCCATCCTTTAAGCCTGTGCCAGCAAGTAGACTTGGGCTGATTAAACACAATACCTTGGCAGAGAACACAAAGACTGAAGATCTAATACACTCACAGACTCTTCAGGTGAGGATGCTGCAGGTCTGCCCCGTTCCCTGCACTACCCCTCACCCAGAGGGGCAGCAAACCACCACATTTAAAACTGCTCACTTTTCTCAATGTTTGGATGAAAACAGCAACTCTCTGCACTCAGGCTGCTTGCCTCTACAGGACTAGAGTACCCCCACAACAAAAGAACAGCCTGCAATCCCAGGAGGAACCTGAACTGAAGCTTAACTGTCCACTAGGATGGGAGGAGGCCCGTTCCCAGTAGCACTGGTGCCCCTGGGCATTCCTAATGGCTCACTTTTGGCCACCATAGTCCCTGTGCTCTCAAGCAGCAGTGGCAGCTAAAAGCTGTCTGTCCTCTTCGACCCGCCCAGGCGAGACTGCTGACTTTCCAAGAGCCTCTGGTAAGACCGATGTAAGGTGGTGGCTGCCGGCATGGGCACATCACCAGCTCTGACTTCAAACAACACTTCCACTACAAACACCAGCCCCTGGGCACACAGGGGATATTCAAAGCAGGCTGCTCTTTCAGCATAAGCTGCCTTCACCTAGAAGACAGACCTTTAGTGTGGTGCTCATGGAAACAGGCTGCAGTGCAGGTTTGTCCTGCCTGCCCCAAGCAGACATAAAACCCCCCCCGTAACTCACAAACCAGTGTTAACTGCACACATCAGCCAGCTCAGAGCATTCAGGTTAGAAACAGAGGCACTAATATCCCCGAAAGCCTCGTCAGAGATGGAAGTCCCATCTCTGAGGCACAGGCAGGAGATGCCCTGCCAGCCTGCCATGTGCCTGCCCATGCCAACGCTCCTCCCCTCCCCACGTACGTGCGGATCCTCTCGCAGGCAGCCCTGACTCACCATCGCCCCGCTCCCATGCGGCACAAAGGAGCCAGGGCAGCGAAAACCATAATTTGTCCTGGCAAAACCTCTTTTCCCTCAGCCCTGCCAGAAGCTGCTGATTCACCGGAGTCACAACAAGAAAGTCTGCCCACATAAAAAGCCAGAGAAAGTCCCATTATTATAGGAAAAGCCGCTGCTCGCCCTGAAACATTGTGTTTTAGCCCTCTAACACTTGCTGCTGCATCCTCTGACACCTGCAGAGCAGCACAAGCCTCTCCAGATGCCAAAATCAACAAGCCTCTGCTGGGAAATCACTTCCACAGAGGCAAGTGGGTCTGCACAGCCTCTGGGAATGAGGGATATGAAACAACAGGACCCCAAGCTGGAAACTGCACCCAGAGCATGACTGGGGAGGGTTTAAAATAGGCAATGTGAGCTCTCATGGAAAAACCCCACCAACTCGAGTCATTTGCAAATATAATTTTAACCCCCCTAAAGTCCTTGTAAGTACATAAAGGGAAGTGAGTTCCCAGCCAGAACCCCCTTCATGAGCACTTCAGTGCGCTCAGGAAAGTCAATCAGAGACACCATGACCTTGTCCAGGGGGGAGAGCACAAACACAGCAGCCGGAAAGTATTCCAGACCCGGGTGGCTGCAGCACCGTGCCACACTAACAACAACCTTTGCTTTCTAACATTTCCTCCTGCCTCCCACTATCCTGTATCTACAAAGCACCGACTGAGCTCTCCTGGAGGGAGCAGGCTGACAAATATAACAGGAATGTCTGGCATTTCCCACTATGCCAGGTTTGGGGTTTTCTTTATTCAAAAGGAGCTCGGACTTTCAAGGACGCCTGAAGACACAGAGCGCTCAGTCTGCGCTGGGTAATGAAGGGGGTAAGCAATATCCTACAGTCTGAATGCTTCCAGCACCAAATAAATGTGAATTCCTTCCTCGAGGAATAACCATTAAACCCCCACGTTTATTACTTGGGCTGCCTGGGCTTTAAGCAAGATGTCTGGTACCTCCCTGGCTCTTGAATGTTCTAGAAAGAGCTCATGTGAGGGCAGAGAGCTGTTCTGCAGTAGTGAGGTGACTAACTCCAGCCAGCTCATCCTGCAGTCCAGAGGCTCCGAAATCACTGCACCTCCTGATCAGATCTGCCCAGGGGGATGGAGAAAGGAGCAGAAGCAGCAGCAATCCCCACCCTGGGCCAAGTCTCTGCTGTTACTGGTGACAGAGGGAAGCGGAAACTGCAGCAAGGACTAGCCCCAGGCAGCACCACCGTTAACCATCGCCACGCCAGAGATGTTCCTGCCTGTGAATGTTGCAGGCAGGCTCATGGCGGGTGATGATTTGGGTTTTATTGGTCAGCCTCACTTACACAACCTCACTGACGCTGCACAACAAGGCTGCTCATGCCCAGTGTCCCTGGCCAGAGGCAGGAATGGTTTGAGTTAGCACTCACATGAGAGACGGGCAGGGTTATGAAACTGGGCAAGCCTTCAGATTCCCTAAAAGCAGCCCAGAAAAACATCAGATTTGCTCACTGGAGAAACTGAAGTCTCTCAACAACAGAAAAACACAGCTCTGTGCCAAGGCAGGCTTTGATGCAGCCTGTCACCCCTCTTACAGAGAGGGAGGCAACAGCTCTTCCCTTGCAGGAGGTAGTGTTGCACTGTTACACAAGATGGCCACCCCAAAGCCATCTCCTTTTTGCAAGGCTGGACAGGACCCAGCAGCCACCACCTGCTCCCAGTTGGTGTATGCTCTCCCCAGCACTGAACTGCAGCTCCGCTGGGGAGGGTCCCACAGCAGTCACTGCACAGTGGCAATGGAGATGCCTCTGTAGCCTCTTGGAGTTATGGAGCTGGGAGGGTCAGGACAACATCAGCACTTTCCTGCGTGCAGAGGGATAAGCCTTGCCTTAGCTCAGCCTGCCTGCCATTCCCTGAGGGCAAAGATATAAAGGAAATTTAGTAAGAAAAATTAAGCGAGTTGAAGTGAGAAGCACAAGGTGTTTGCGACTAAAAAGACTTATCTCGAGGGTATCCATAGTGTGGGCACACACACCGATCTAACCTTGAAGGTGCTGCTCTGACAAAGGACAAGGAGACTTCCAGCCTGGCCCCAGGCCAACAGAAACCACCTAGCTGCCTCCAGGAAGCTGTAAAGAAATCCTGTTTGCATTATAAAAGGAAGTCTTACGGTGGGTTTTCCATCTGAATAACTCTAGATGGAGGTCTAGATCCCTGTGCCGCATCCCTGAGGGATGGGGGTCTGCTGCGCGCCTGGGCGGCAGCGCCAAGGTACTGCAGCCCCATTCCCTACGTGCCACCATCCATCACCGCGCTGCAGCGGCCCCAGCACCTCCTTCCCCCTGGGAGGAGAAGGAGATAAAAGGCCCAGCACGTGGTGCAGCCAGCCCGGGAAACGGCTTATTCCTCTCGAATTACCAGTTTAGTGTGCAGAAAGGGAATTAACGCCGGCAGTGGATCACTCCAATAAACTGGGCTTATCAGGAAATGGATGGCTTGGGGCAGATAAAGAAATAGGCAGTCATGGAAAACGCAGGCCACAGTCTCCACAAGCTCTTTATCTAGTGAAAGTGAAGTTTCTTGGATAGGTTTTGCAAGCAAAAGACCGCACTGCAAACACGTGGCTCACAGCAGAGCTTCCTGCCTCGCCTTTGCTAACAACGCATGGCTTGGAAACAGGTTGGCACTGGCATGAGCCACGAGGCCAGCAAACTTCACTGCTCTACATTACCCTAAATTCTGCTTTATAAATGGGATGTCAAGCATAAAATTATCTGCTGTGGGCTGATTTTTTGCACTGAAACCCTCGAGTTTCCCAAGAGGTAGCTGGGTAACTGAAAAACCTCTTTGTCATCCAACCTTCAGGCCAAAGCAGGTCAGGCTTAGCAGCAGCCCTTCGAAGGAGGGGGGCAGCCGGGAAGTTAAGGCATTAACATCACAAAAACCTCCGAAAAGCAGTGATTTCTCTTAACCTGGGAGCCGCTGATAACTAGCTGTCTTATCAGAACAAAGCAGGGGTTTAGAGGCTGCCGTATACTTTTACGAGTGCGAGGAGACATTCCGAGGTTGCCACTCTGCCGATAAAAAGCACTATTCATGCCTGCAAAGAAGGTTTCAACACGTTTTAAAGGTTTTCACAGTTCACGGGACTGTCCAAATCAATCGGACGTGTTAAAGCAGGCATAATTACGGGAGATGATTAATGCTAAAGGGGCCATCTCTTGCGGAGGAAGAGAGGGAGGGATAAAGAGGCTGCAGCATCGCTGTGAGTCCAGCGAGCCGTACGCTGATTTAAGCTGATGCCCTTCAGAGTCGGCTCTTACGTGAGCGCCGGCACGGGGTTGACGAGGGGGGGGGGGAAGGGGGAGATGAGGGGGAAGCCGGCATAGCGCTCCGCTCCCGCTCCATCTGACTCAGCCTGCCATAAGACTCCGGTCCAGCCGCGGCCACCAGGAAGGCGGCCGGGATGTTGCAACCGGAGCCCCAGGCTCCACCTCACAGCATCGCTGCGGGACACACGCGGTCCCCGCCACCCCCTGCCCCGGTACACGCCGCAGGGACCGACCCCAAACCCCCCCCCGGGGCGGCGGGACTGGGATGCTCCGGGCGGGCGGGACTCGGCCGCGGCGCCACGTGCTCGGCGCCGCGAGACCCCCGCATGCGCGCACCACCACACCCCCCCCCACCCCAACCCAACCGCCGCCTGAAGGAGACCCTCGCCCAACGGCGGGAACGGGGGTGATGATGATGGCGGCGGAGGAAGGTGCTGCGGAGGGCACCGCCACCCGCTCGCCGCCGCCCGCTGCCCCGCAGGCCGCCGTTACCTGCTGCAGCCCGGCCTCGCCCCACGCCCGTCCGCTCCGAAAGCCGCCGCTCCTCTGCGCACCGCCCCGCCGCCTCGCCAAGGTGTCCCGGGCGCCGCAGCACCGCCCCGTGCCCCCCCAACGGATCCCTCCGCCGACCGCCCCTGGGGCGGGAGGAGGCGGGGCGGCGGGACTCCTTTCTCCGGCGGATGCACACGGCTCTCAAAAACGCTACAGCCGCAACACGCAGCCGGAGCGTGGCCGCCGCCTTAAAGGCGCCGCGCCTCGCCTCATGCCGCTGCTCTTAAAGGCGCCGCGCCCCGCACTGCTCTCAGCACCCCACCCGCTGCGGGGCGCTGGTGGGCCCAAGGGGTTGGGGCTGCCGCCCCTCTCTCCGTGCGGGCAGCGGTGATGAGCGTTTGGGGTTGCGATGGGCCATCCTGAGCCTCGGAACTCCCCAGCCCGAGGAATGGGGAATCATAGAATGGTTTGGGTTGGAAAGGACCTTAAGATCATCCAGTTCCAACCCCCTGCCATGGGCAGGGACACCTCGCACTAAACCAGGTGAACCCCGGCTCTGCCCAGCCTGGCCTTGAACACTGCCAGGGACAGAGCATAGTGGGGCCCTGATCATGGGGACACTGAGCTGGGGACACAGAGATGGGAGCATGGGGACATCAGGCTGGAGGGGACTCTGGGCTGGGGACCCTGTGATGACACCCTGGGGACACAGTGTGGGGCACCCTGTGTCAGGGCCATGGGGAACCTGCGCTGGGGACACTGAGGATCCCATGCTGGAGGCATTGGGGATCCTGCCCCAGGACCATGGGGAACCTTTGCTGGGGACACTGGGGACCCATCACAGCCCTTCTGCACTGGTGGGGACATGTCACTGACATGGGGACCTGCCACGCAGACCCCCTGTGGGGACACTGTGCCATCCATGTAGGGAGCCAGAGTGGTCACTCTGTTCTGGGACCGTAGGGACCTCATACTGGGGACACTGGAAACCCCGTGCTGTGCTATGGGAACACTGCACCAGCCCTATGGGGACCCAAAATGGCCGCCCTGTGCTGGGACCATGTGCACCCTGTACTGGGGATGATGGGGACTCTGTGGGTGCCCCATGCCAGCCATGTGGGGACCCAAACTGATCACCCCATGTTGGAACTATGAGGATCCTGCACTGGAGACACTGGGGATCCTGTCCTAAGGACACTAGGGACCCTGGCCTAAGTTGTGGGCACCCCAGGCCAGCCATGTGGGGACTCAAAATGGTCTCCCTGTGCCAGGGCCACGGGGGAGACTGAGCCTTGGGGTGCCTGTGCTGGGGACACTGGGGCCCACAGCTGGGCCGCCGCATGGGGGACCTTGTGCTGGTGGGGACTGCAGGGACCCCGCACTGGGGACACCGCGGACCCGTCCCGGCCTCGCTCCCGGGGTGTCCGGTGCCGAGCTCGGGGGTACCGGGGGGGGTCCCCCGGGTGACGTCAGCGGCAGTTGCCGGGTGACGCCGCGGTGCCGGGCCCGCGCCGGGCCCTGACGTCAAGGCCCGATGGCCGCCCGCCCGCCCGGCGGCATGGAGGCGCTGCCAGGCCCCGCCGGCCGCTGAGATGGTGAGCGGGGAGCGGCCGGCGGGGGGGGGCGCCGCGGGACCGGGGAGGCCCCGTGCGCGGCCCGGAGCCGGGAGCAGGCCCCGCGGATGGGGGCCCGGGGAGGGCGGCGGGACGGGGCCTGCTCGGGGCGGGAGGTGAAGGGGGGGGCCAGGCCCCGGCGCCCCCGAGTGTCCCCGTGTCCCCCGCCACGGGGAGGGGACGGGGCTGATGGGGGAGGAACCCCCCCCCCCCCCGCCATCGTCCGGGAACCTGCAGCGGCTCCGTGCATGGCCTCCACCCGCTGTCCAATCCCTCTGCCCCATCCCGCTGTTCCATCCCACTGCACCATCCTGCTGCCCCCATCCCACTACACCATCCTGCTGTCCATCCCGCTGTCCCCATCCCACTGTTCCATCCCACTGCCACATCCCGCTGTCCCCATCCCACTGCACCATCCTACTGTCCATCCTGCTGCCCCCATCCCACTGCACCATCCTACTGTCCATCCTGCTGCCCCCATCCCACTGCACCATCCTCCTGTCCATCCTGCTGCCCCCATCCCACTGCACCATCCTACTGTCCATCCTGCTGCCCCCATCCCACTGCACCATCCTACTGGTCATCCTGCTGTCCCCATCCCACTGCACCATCCTACTGTCCATCCTGCTGCCCCCATCCCACTGCACCATCCTACTGTCCATCCCACTACCCCCATCCCACTGCCACATCCCATTGCCCTCATCCCACTGCCACATCCCATTGCCCTCATCCCACTGCCGCATTCCACTGCCCCATCCCTCTACCACATCCCATTGCCCTCGTCCCACTGCCCCATCCCACTGCCAAATCTCACTGTCCCATCCTACTGTCCCAAACCTGTCCCCAACCTGCTTTCCCCTAATCTGGTCCCTCATCCCCCTTCCTGCTCCTCCATCCTGCTGTGCCCCCATCCTTCTGTCCCTCAAACTGCTCCCATCCCACTGCCCCCTATCCCACTCCCCCCAACCTGCTGCCCCCCATCCTAATGCCCAGATCCTGCTGCCCTCCCAGATACTCCCTCATCCTGCTCCCCGATCCTGCTCCCCCATCCTACGGCCTCCCAGATCATTCCCCACAACTTGCTCCCCCAACCTGCTGCCCCACAACCTGCTCCCCCCTAATTCATTCCCTCTTACTCTGTTTCCCCCAGCCCATTACCCCTGATCCATCTCCACAATCCTCTTCCCCATAACCTGCTCCCCCCCAACCCTTTCCCCCCATTCCTGCTGCACCCCAACTTTCTGGCCCCCTCAAATCTGCTGACCCCAACCCTGTGCACCCCAGGACCTCAAGGGCCAGTACTGGACTGATGATGACTCCGATGGGGACAATGAGTCCGAGGAGTTCCTCTATGGCGTCCAGGTAGGCACCATGGGTACTGGACCCAGTGGGTGCTGGTGGGGCTCAGGACTCCCCAGCCTGAGCCTGGTTCTGAGCACGGGGCTGACACTGCTGTGGGTGCTGTGCTGCAGGGGACCTGCGCCGCCGACCTCTACCGTCACCCGCAGCTGGATGCCGACATCGAGGCCGTGAAGGAGATCTACAGCGAGAATGCCGTGGCCGTCAGGTGGGTGCTCCGCTGCCTGCACCCAGGTGTGCTGTCCCCAGGCACCCGCCAGTGCCATCCCCAGGGTGTCTGGTCATAGCATCCCTGGGCACCCGCCAGTGACATCCCCAGGGTGTCTGGTCATAGCATCCCTGGGCACCCGCCAGTGACATCCCCAGGGTGTCTGGTCATAGCATCCCGGGCCACCTGCCAGTGCCATCCCCAGGCACCCAATGGTGCCATCCCCGGGGTGTCTGGCCATAGCATCCCTGGGCACCCGCCAGTGCCATCCCTGGGCACCCGATGGTGCCATCCCCAGGGTGTCTGGCCATAGCATCCCCGGGCACCTGCCAGTGCCATCCCCAGACACCCAGCAGTGACATCCCCAGGGTGTCTGGCCGTAGCATCCCTGGGCACCCGCCGGTGCCATCCCCAGGGTGTCTGGCCATAGCATCCCTGGGCACCCAATGGTGCCATCCCCGGGGTATCTGGTCATAGCATCCCCTGGGCACCCGCCAGTGCCATCCCCAGGGTGTCTGGTCATAGCATCCCCTGGGCACCCACCAGTGCCATCCCCGGGCACCCGATGGTGCCATCCCCAGGGTGTCTGGTCATAGCATCTCCTGGTCACCTGGCTATGCTGCCCCTGAAGCACCCACACATGGCATTCCTCAAGCACCCACTGTGCCATCTCCATGGTGCCCACTGTGGCACCCCTGGGGCACTTGGCTGTGGTATCCCCAGGCACTTGGCTGGGGCATCTTGGGGCACCCATCTGTGGCATCCCTGGGGCACCCAACTGGGGCACCCATCCACAATCCGGATGCGCTCCCATTGCCATCCTTATCTCATGGGTGCACGCACTTGATTCACAAGGAGCTGCACGTGCCCATCACCGCCCCACAAGCCTGCCCACCCTGGCGCAGTCACCCCACCACGGGGCTCTGTCTTCACAGGGAGTACGGGACCATCGATGACGTGGACATCGACCTCCACGTGAACATCAGCTTCCTCGATGTGAGTGCTGGCGTGTCCTTGGCACCGTGGCCATGGGGATGGGAGGGACACACGGGGGGGGATCCCCAGATTTCCTTCCCCATCCGGGGGTCCTCAGGGCCGTGCCAAATGGCAGCTCTCCCTTGGCAGGAGGAGGTGGCGACGGCGTGGAAGGTGCTGCGGACGGAGCCCATCGTCCTCCGCCTGCGCTTCTCCCTCTCCCAGTACCTCGATGGCCCCGGTGAGTGGGGCCGGGCAGGACACAGTGTCCCCGTGGCTCTCAGTGCGGGCACAGCAGCAGCACTGACTGCTTGTCCTCCGCTCTCCCTGCAGAACCCTCCATCGAGGTTTTCCAGCCGTCCAACAAGGAGGGCTTCGGGCTGGGTCTGCAGCTGAAGAAGTAAGAACCAGAACACAGTGGGCACCCAAGGGCGGTGGGTGGGTGGGTGGTCCACAGAGGCACCGTTTTGCTCCCCAAACCAGCCACATGTCACCATGCCAGTGCCGCACAGCTCACCCTACGGGGATGGGGAAGAGGAGGAGCTGGGTGGCACGAGCCACGCAAGCACTGGGCTCGGTTGGCACTGGCGCATCCATGGGTGCTGGCACCCTGTGTGGATGCCCGTGCCACCTCTCTGCCAGGATCCTGGGCATGTTCACATCCCAGCAATGGAAACATCTCAGCAATGATTTCCTGAAGACCCAGCAGGAGAAGCGGCACAGTTGGTTCAAGACGAGTGGCACCATCAAGAAGTTCCGTGCTGGCCTCAGCATCTTCTCCCCCATCCCCAAGTAAGACCCTGATAGTGTCACCAAGGGATCAAACCTCTCTCCCCTCACCTGGGTGGCCAGGGCTGTGCCTCAGTTTCCCTGCTCACCCCTTGGATGCTGTTGCTCCCTACCAGAGCCCGAGGGGCTGGTGGTGGCTCCCCAGAACCAGCCAAAGGCTGAG